GTCATCTTGATTTTCTCAGCAATAGAACTGCGTCCAAAGAAAGTCCAGTTTGCCAGTATTTTATAGTAAAACATTAGAAAAAACGTGGTTTTTCTGTTTAGAGACAGTGTTGTTTAGAAATATTGACCTAAAAGTGAAGAATCTTCAGTTTCCAAGAGTTTTCTAAATAAATTATTATAAACTTTCGCTTTTTCAGTTCGGGGAAATATTTTTGGAACAAGGCATAGAAATAATTATTAGGGTTTTGTTCATAATTCAAAGCTGCAACAAGTTTTCCAAACATTTTTGCAAAGGGATTAAGGAGGCGAGTGTTCCAATTAAATTTGTGATTTAGTTTTTCACTTTTGAAAATACCGGAAGTTTATCAGTATTTTAAGTAAAACTAGAATTGCTTATTAGAAACGGTGCTAAAACAGGAATGACCTGAAAATTTAAAGGAACTTTAGAAATCCTCAAAGCGATGAGGGAGGCGAATTTTCCCAATAATTTTTTGTAAAGTTTTGCTTTTTGGTCGTTTTTTCCAAGATGGTCTTAATTAATTTCAGTAAAAAAGGAGGCGAGTGTTTCTACTAGACGGCCACCAAATACGGTTCGACGAAGTTGACATTCTGCAGCAATCTGAAAGATACTACCCGAGACTCACCAGGGAGGCCATTGAAATATTTAAACACCAAAACAATTTCAACAGAAAAGAAGACATTACGGCACTCAATCCAGATTGGAAGCGCGTTTTGCGCCAAACAGCATGTGCGCCGAAGCGTTGGAACCCCCACCCATCCCCCACGCATGAGCACACACGGCTGGGCGGCATAAATACGACTGGGAATCCAGCAGTTCAATCATTCTTAGTCGGAAAGCACGGGAGATCACTTCGCCCACTGCCTCATCGCCTTTGAAAATGTCTTCTTCCTTGTTGTGGACGAAACGTCAGGAAGAAATTCCGATAGACCACGGCTTCAAAGCCCGGAAAACATTCCTAAATGTAATCTGACCGGCCGTGAAAGCCTTCATAGTCTGATAAAAAAATTAACTTTTTTAACAAACTCTACAGGGGGTGACGAGATTTCCAAGTAATCTGTTATAAACTTTCGCTTATTCTGTTCGTTTTTTGTTAGAAAATTATTTGCTTTTTGTTCCAAATTCGAAACTGGAAAGGGATTTCAAAACTTTTTACAAAGCAGCGACGAGTGATTCAAAATTAATTTCATAATTTTTCGAGGAAAATACTTTCAGCTTGTCAGCATTTTTAAGTCAAACTGAAATTCGAATTTCCCGCCAACTAATAGCAATACGCCGATCCGACAACTCGATAGGCAACCAAGCATACGCATTTCAGTCCACTTGTCAACATCCTACTTAACCGCACTTTTAATCATCTACGTTCGTTGTGCCGCTTTTCTTTGTAACAAAAAAGTCCAAATAATGGAAGGGAAGGCCCAGAAAATGCCCAAAGTGGCCAAAGTGAAAAACAAAGCGCCTGCAGAGATTCAAATCACTGCTGAGCAGCTTTTGCGCGAGGCCAAAGAGCGAGACCTAGAAATCCTACCTCCACCCCCCAAGCAGAAGATCTCGGATCCAGCAGAACTAGCCGACTACCAGCTGAGGAGGAGGAAGCAATTTGAAGACAATATCAGGAAGAACCGGATGGTGATCTCCAATTGGATCAAATATGCACAGTGGGAAGAATCGCAAAAGGACATCCAAAGAGCAAGATCTATATGGGAAAGGGCTCTGGATGTGGATCATCGAAATATCACACTATGGCTCAAGTATACCGAAATGGAAATGCGATCCAGACAGGTGAACCATGCCAGGAATCTGTGGGATCGCGCCGTGACTATTCTGCCGAGAGTAAATCAGTTTTGGTACAAGTACACCTATATGGAAGAAACGCTGGAGAACGTGCCGGGGGCTCGTGCGGTGTTTGAGCGCTGGATGGAATGGCAACCCGAGGAACAGGCCTGGCAAACTTACATCAATTTCGAGCTAAGATATAAGGAAATCGACCGCGCTAGGCAGATATACGAACGATTCGTTATCTCCCATCCCCAAGTTAAGCATTGGATCAAATACGCTCGTTTTGAAGAAAACCACGGGTTTATTCACTCGGCAAGGCAAATCTTTGAACGCGCAGTCCAATTCTTCGGCGACGACTACATGGACGAGAAGCTCTTTATAGCATTCGCAAAGTTTGAGGAGAACCAAAAAGAACACGACCGAGCACGAGTGATTTACAAATATTCCCTGGCTCACATTCCCAAAGAAGACACCAAGGAGCTCTACAAAGCCTACACGATACATGAAAAAAAATTCGGCGACCGAACCGGCATTGAGGAAGTAATCGTTTCGAAAAGAAAATTCCAATACGAACAGGAAATTGCGGAAAACCCTACCAACTATGACGCCTGGTTTGACTACATCAGATTAGTCGAAGGCCAAGGGGATGTGGAAATCATCCGGGAAACCTACGAAAGAGCCATCGCCAACGTCCCGCCATCCAAGAACAAGGACTTCTGGCGCAGATACATCTACCTCTGGATCAACTATGCCTTCTTCGAAGAACTAGAGGCGCAAGACTTTGAGAGAACCAGACAAGTGTACAAGGCTTGTCTAGAGCTGTTGCCCCATAAAGTGTTCACATTTTCAAAAATTTGGCTGCTGTACGCCAAATTCGAAATCCGGCAAAGAAACCTAACGGCCGCCCGCAAACTACTCGGAATGGCCATTGGAATGTGTCCGCGTGACAAGCTGTTTAGAGGCTACATCGACTTGGAGATTCAACTGCGTGAGTTCGACAGATGCAGAAAGTTGTACGAGAAATTCCTGGAGTTTGGTCCAGAAAACTGCGTAACCTGGATGAAGTTTGCCGAGCTGGAAACCCTGCTAGGAGACTCTGAGAGGGCGCGAGCCATTTACGAGCTGGCGATCAACCAACCAAAACTCGACATGCCAGAGCTGCTCTGGAAATCGTACATCGACTTTGAAATAGCGCAGGAAGACCCAGAAAACGCCCGACAACTCTACGAGCGATTACTAGAAAGAACCAGCCATGTGAAAGTGTGGCTTTCTTATGCCAAGTTCGAGCTCAATCAAGAATCGGAGGATGGCATGAACACCCGTCTGGCCCGGCGAATATTCGAACGGGGCAACGACAACCTGAAATCCTGCCCGGATAAGGAGAACAGAGTGCTGCTGTTTGAGAACTGGAAGGAGTTCGAAAATATGCACGGCGACGAAACTGCCCAGGCCAAAATCACCAGCAAAATGCCGAAGCGGATCAAGAAGCGACAGAAGGTCATTGACGATGATGGCAAAGAGCAGGGTTGGGAGGAGGTGTTTGACTACATTTTCCCTGAAGATGAATCCAACCGGCCCAATCTCAAGCTGTTGGCTGCGGCGAAGAACTGGAAGAAGAAAGCTGATACGGATGTGGGCGGCCAAGCTTAGAATGATTTGACTGAAGAGGAATGTTTACTGATTAAGGAATTATTAAAGACAATTTTTTGTTTCTGATGGTTTTATTTCGCACTATACATATTGCACAATCTTTTGTATAAACTGGATCCATTATCCATTATACTCATGGAAAAGGACGAGTAAATGATACGAGGATGGTTAAATGGGGGAAAAGTTGATCCATTAATAAAACTAAAAACGGCGCTTTTCATCCAAACTTCGAATTTTAATATTATTCAAGAAGGTCTGACCATGCTTTCACCAGCCTTTTGGCCTGGTGAGTTTACACATGCATGGATTTTAGGGTTGAACAACAAATCACTGCCTGTGATTTTTTCACAGCGATTAATAAATAGTAATCACGAACGTAAAAATAAACTGTGATCTAAAACGTGATATTAAAAAGCGACTTATATTTTCACTACTAGCGCTACTATTGAACCCAAATAAAATTATTTTGTTCGGTAATGAAAACTTGCATTCACAGGTTCCCTGAACGAAGTGAGCCTGAATTTTATCGATATTTTTGAGAATCGTATTTCAGTATGCACCATTCATTAGCCGTTTTCTGATTGTGTATTTTTTAAATACTTTTGTGGAAGTACGCTTAGTATTTCTGTTTCGTTCATTTTTCCTAATTGAAATTGTTATTATGTATTGTGCTAAAGACGGAAAATTAGTTTTTTGCGGAATTTGTTTTCTGCATTAGATGATAATTTTGCAAAATGCAATTTATGCAAAAAAATCATCTTGCAAAACAAGTACGTCTAATTCGAAACGGTCTATGGAATGCAACAGACCACAATATCAATAAATTCTGAAAATTTTTGCGAAGAGTAGAGAAGTAACATTTTTGTACCTATTTTCACTCAAATAGTTTTTTTTCAGATCAAAAATTAAAATCAAATATAGCTTGTTCACAAAGAATTAAGAGCTCCATACGCTATTAGTTCTGTGTAAAACAATAGTTTTTTGTTCCTATTTTAATTGTTGTATAGAATGTTTTTAGAACTTTTAGAGCACATGGGTTTACAAAAATGTGTAGCCAGTTGCTAGTTGCAGAGACTGTTTTTTTTTTAGTGTCCTTAAAATCATTTATACTTTAAGTATAAAATATTATTTGTTGTATACCTAAATAAGGTTATTTATTTAAAAAATATGAATTACAAATGTTTTAAAATTATTTACGCATATATGGAACAAAATTGCAATGTTGGCACGGATTTTGATATTGATTTCATGGTGGAATAGGTTGCAAGTGTAATTTGAAAAGGTTTTCATATGCTTGTTCTCGATCCAGAAGTTTTATTGTCAGTGCCGGAGACCATTTTTTTAAAGCCTTTTTTAGGCTTTTCTTTTTCAGCCTACTCAGTTCTCAGTTAAATGGTTCTTGTGTGCAAAGTGTATCTACTGGAGCGCCACTAAATCCATTAATGTGCAAACTCGCAATTAATATTAAGCTGTGCTTCCTGACGTTTCGCTCGCATCTGCGGTGAACATTATCACACAATTTGCACGAACATCAGGAAGCAATTTCAATTATTTTTGTCCTTAATTCGCTAAATAAGCCATTTAGACAATGTTGGAAGTCGGCAGCTATTTACTACATTAAAACATTCAACTAACGTATTATTAAATTTATATAAATAAGTACAACAAATCAATTCAAAACAAATTACGGCATATCGGACACGTGCTCTTTCGGCTGGTGTTAAACCACTTATACTGAAAAATAATAAATTATTACGGGGCTTTGCTTGGAATGTTGCGACTTACCAAACATGCTGAATGGAATTTTTTCTTGCACATCCGACAGGACAGTTTGGGGAATTGGTAAGTTCCCACGTGCAGGACGGAGTAGCAAATGTAACACTCTTCAATTCCCTCGAATTTCTTGTCCAAATTGGCATGCCAGAGCACCAGTCCATCCCATATTTTTCCATTCTAGACAATAAGAAACCACTTTAACATAACTTGTTTAAAAGCTGCATAAAAGAAATAAACAAAGGTTCCGATAACAAAATAACCCGTTGCAAAAGTGCAAACCGTTTGAAAAAGTCTATGCCACATAAAAAAGGTACAAAGTTCAGCGCGCTTTGGATCAATCTCTAAATAAGTGAAAATATGCATTATGTACATGTTGAGGTTTATTACAAGCAAATTAATTTTTGGTACAAGCCGGCGCAACTGAACGATTAGGACCATTTTGAGAAACTCCGAACTTGCTCCTACCTGAAGCAAAATGCACTTTTTAAACTGCAACAGCTGCTTTTGAATGGTGCCACTAATTTGCCGATTACATCCAATATCCGGACTTCCCAAAGGATAATTCGCTGGCAGAGTTATGGTCAGCTCCATCTGCGCCTCGTCCACCATATAAACTGCCTGGATTTCTCGCACAATTGGCATCACTTTCACCTGAAACCAACACTGCCCGATCCAGAACCTTGCAGCCTTTTGCGAAATACGTACCTTGAGATTTTTGAACAAGTCCTGGTATTTGAGCACGTCGTTCAATGCGCCGTTACAGATATGAGGCGACACGTGCGTGACGGTGATTTTTTCCACTATTTGTGAAAACTTATTATCCAAGCCAGTCCACCACTGCCGAACCAAAGCGGGGAACTGTTCAAGGAAGCATTTGTACAGGTAGCGAGAGAAGTTTTCTATGGTTTCGGAGCCGAAAAAGGTAAAGTGCCATGGAGCAGCCAAAGGATGAGTTACGAAGGTTTGGCCAAGTGCAGCTTTGGCATCGCCTTGCTGGAGATCTTGCGTGGACATGAGCTTGAAGATATTTGTTAGGAACAAATGAAGAAATAATTCTTTCCTGAAAATCCAAGTGTCCCGAAAAGAGTTTTTTCCTGCGTCCTTGCGCGAGTGTTACCTGAGCCAATCACAATATTGAAGTCGCAGTTCCGGCGATGCTTGATCGCACAGCGCTACAATAACATCCCACAGCATCATATACCCGAAGGTATACGTGTAGGAATCGAACGTGGGTTCCAATTTGCAGCTGTTTTCCGGTACGCTGTAAAAACAATGATTTCAAGCCTGCAACCTACAAATGACTGGAAACCATCTACCTAAAATCCATCAGCATACTGTTCACAATATCCTGCGTTTCAGTTAGTTTATCTTTGAAGTGTTCGAATATTAGCACAGTTTCACTTTCGGTGCTGGCACTAGCGGATTCTTGATCGATTTTTAGCAAGCCCGGCACTAAAATCATCAGCATTTTATGGCCCCACAGCTGCAGAATAATTTGGGAGTTGGTAATCAACGTTTCGCAGCACATCTTCAGCAACTTTGAATATGATACGTTTTCCTGTTGCATTATCAACTCGTGGCTGAACCAATTCGTCACTTCTCCGAAACATTGCAAAAATGGCAAATTAACCAATGAGTCTTCAGCACATTTGCTGAAATTACCTGAAAAACACACAAAGTTTATACCATTGCTTATCGGAACAAAAGTTGTCCGAATGCCAATGCTTCGACATAGCGTTTCTTGAGCGGCATAAGTAATAATTACCGGCTAAACTGATCCAAAGTTGAAGCAAATCATTGTGAAAACCAACAAAAAGCAAATCTGTCCACTCTTGTGCGTAACTAGCATTGTCCTGGGTTTCCTTCAGTTTTGCTACTTTTTTACAAATGGCTATGTAGAGGTCACTTACTGCAACGAGCAGTGCTTGGTACTGAAAAAAATTGCAAAGTGATGCTGCTAATGCACAAAAACCATCAACTACCTGCACTGTTTTAAATGAGCTTTTGGATTTATTGCTGAGCTCTGTGGATAAAACCAGCGCCATGACCGCTAGGTCCCAGTGCTTTTGGGGCAGTTCAGGATTTTCAACTAATTTCCTGCATGATTTGACCGATTTGATTAACTTGTGCACTTCCTCCCATGACAATGGGCTATAAAAACATATAGCGTTATACACCGGCTTATTAGACCCGTAAACAATGTTTTACCAGTTTTCGTAAACAGTCATCTGCTTGCGGAAGAATTCAGCCTCTTGAAATATCACTTCGAACTCATCAGTTGTCATAGTCTGCACAGAACAAACGCTTGCCTCCGAACTGCGATCATTCAACTTTCCAACTCTGATCCCAGGCAGTCCACAGTCCCAACGCCTGACTTTCACTAAATCATGTATTTGCCTTATCAAATCTAGATTCATCTGCCAACTGGAGTTGTGGTAGTGCAAAATTTCTTGGTAATGCTTAATCTAAAAAAAAATCAAAACTGTTCGTCCGAAGCACTACTCCCTTTATAAACCTACATTGTTAAAGTGTTCCAAAAACGTTTCGCAAACAGACAGAGAATAAATTGCGTTTAGGACTTCGTTTGATTCAACCTGCATGTTTGGCACAACTGCCATCGCCATAAAATTATTGACAAAATAGCTCAGTATTTCCTCTTCGGATATTGATTCTTGATCGACTATGTTCTCATTCGGACTGTTTATAGTGCCCTTTATAAAACAGGCAACCTGGGACAAGAAGCAACATTGAATCTATGCAATAACTCACTGATTTACTCAAACAATCACCTTGCAAAGAGTTATAACTTTGCTTTGAGTACGTGCAGTTTTCTCTATCAAAAACTCTAACAGCCACTCGGTCAGGCCAATGTTGCTTTGGGAAATCGTGTCCCACACCATCTGGATGCGATCGTTCAAAGGCTGGAAATGCCCGCGAAGTTTGCTGGCTATTATTGAGCTGAAATATTCCTCAAGGCTGTCGAGGAATTTCTCCAGAATCTTTTCACACCTTTCTCGATTCAACCCATCCAATAAATCGCCCAAGGACTTTACCCAGGTGGAATTAATTGTGGAAAGGGCATTTTTATCTATCGGATGGTCGTCGTCGCAATTAAAGGACACTTTGAACAGGTTTAAGAGCAGCTGATGTCCATATCTTGGGTAATACTTTTGTGTGCAGATTATTTCACATAGACAGCAAGCAAGCTCACAGGCCGCATTCAGCGATTTGGTATCTTCGCCTGCTGTTAGAGCTTGGGATATTTCGGTCTGGATTGCGTCCAAAGCGTGCGGGCTTATGAGGAGAGCTGCCCAAAAAATCAACGAGTAAATATGATGAATCCTAAATAAAAAACATTATTCTGACCTCCTTGGGCACTCGCAGCAAGAGCCTGTTTGAAAGTGCCCACTTTCTCCGAGTTACCTCCAGCGGAAATGTACTCATGAACCGTCGACTGGAAGAATGCGCTAACTTTATCCTCTTTTAGCCACTTCCTGACTACTGGGTCGTTTAGGTAATGCCCTTGCAAGGCTCGCGCTATAGTCCAGGAATCGCAGTTTGAATGTTCGACCTGGAAGCGTGCTGAATTAAAAAGGAAAACCTTCCTAATTTACCTTACCTCTAATAAGTAGTTTAAAATTATCTCTTTCTCCAGATCAGTCACGTATTCAAACATCAGAAACACCAAATCCAGCAAACTAGGACAGCACATTTCCTCTGACTGTAACCATTTTTTAAACCACTGGTTGTAAATGTTGATATGAACAGACGCGGAAGCGTCTTGCTTCAGAAGCATTAGAGCAAACTGAAAAATCGGCTCCTTGCCAAAGTTTTCTATTAGAAGGCACAAGGACGCGAACAGTTCACTTAAAGACGTTTTCTCTATGTACTGGATGTAGAGATCAAGAATATTCAGCACAAACTGTTGAAGAGCTTGCGTGTAAAACTTGCTGTTTGCTTCGGCTTTTTCGTGCCCATTGTCCTTCAGACACAACGCCAGCTCAGCTTGCTTAGTTACCACAGTGACAGCATGCGGACTATTCAACAGTCTGCTGAACAAATCGAAGAGGCCGATAAAGAAATATTCCAGCAAACCTTGCATTACATCTGCATCCTTGTTCTTGTCTAAATTCTGCATTAAAGTCGACACTTTGGCAAAAATTAACTTATACTGAACCGCCTCAGTCAACAAACACCACTCTAATACAGTGCTCAAGTGCTTTATAAGGAACTTGCATAGAGGCATGTTTGTGAGGTTCCTAGTTATTAAGAACTGGAGGCATTCCGTGTAGCAAACAGCGATCTCGGTTGTTTCTTGGCTTTTGGTGACTGTCGTTCTGAGCTTTAAGCTGAAATGTGATTGTTATTCATGTACGGTAGTTAGTATTTTCTCACTTTAAGTGAATCAAGGTTTTAAAACTGTTCAATTTTCTTATAATATTTAAGGGCTACGAGGACATCGTTGATATGGCGTGGTTACATACCCTGAAATCATGCTGTCGAGAAAATTGGCCAAGAATTGTTTCCACTTGTTCTCCTCCATTGGAGGCCAATTCGAAAGCAGAGGCAAAAAGTTCGGATAGATAAGGCCGGCATTGCCTCCTCCTCCTTGTTTCAATACAGCGAGTATTTTGGGAGTTAACTGTTGGTCAATGTTGACGAATTTCCACCAATCCTAATCAACCCCGCAGTTAATCAACCGCTTGATAATCAATCAACTAAACTTACCGGAGTTGCCATCACCAGAAGGAGACACTCCCAAACGCGTGGCAATACCATTGGGTCCTCTTCGCCTAAGCTGTTTAAAATAGTTGCCATCGTTTGCGCCTCTTTTCCAGCCAATAAATGCACGGCTCTTTGCAGTAAAACCGACAGCACTTGAAACCAGGAGGCTTTTATCAGGCGGTCCTTGCTTTGGGCCAATTTCCAGAACTTCTTATGCGACACTATTTCAGAGCTTAGCGAAGAAGATTCGCCGGTTTTCTCAACAGGAAATTCCTGCAAATACTTGGCGTACCCCTGAAGGCAGGATGTTACAATCCGTTCATATCTAGTAGCAGCTTCATTTGCGGTGTATTGATTGGGCGAAACAGTCTCGGCTGTTTGAACCAGCAAATTGTCACGGATGGAATGGAAGATTTCCTGATGGTAAACCATTACAGCTTCCTTGAATTTAACTGGGGAAAATGTCTCCTGCAAAGCCACAAAGTTGGGGTTAAAAACTAAACACTCTGAACTGAGGAGGCACCTTGAAAGCTTGAGCCGCAGCTCGGGCAGCAGCCGGATAATTGTCGTACTGGGAAATATACCAAGTGGCCATAAGTTGCTTCAAATAGGGCGCAATATCTCGCTTTGCCTTCAGCACAATAGTGCGATGCACGTGTTGAGTGGCTTCCCGGATTTTATTATCAGGATGCGTCGCCAAAACACTGTAAAACCGAGGCCAGGAAGGTAACAGACTCTTGACGACCGATGGCTCGGCGTTTTGTAGCAAATCGGCAAATTCCTGCAATCCCTAGTGAAGACACTTCACAATCAGCTTTAATTCTCAAATAGCACAATCAATGTGTACCTTTAACTTAGTGGTGAAGTCTTTCTTTGAAACTTTTTTCAGGACCAGCTGGAAATTGCTATCGATCGATGCATCCACATCTTCACTGGGATTGAACGCGAAAGATGGAAGTACGGTTGATTTGGTGGCGGCGATACCTGCAAAGTGCGGCAAGGTGGAATGAAGCATTGCGGCACTTCGCCCACTGCTTGCTGGCTGGAATGGAAGTAGAAGAAACTGATTTGCTTGGGTATGAATACTTTAAATTTTCTTCTTATTAGATGAATATTTCGGGTTTAGAAAACATCAAGCTAGGACATTGAATTCATTGCGGTTTAGTCTCGGAACACAGCGAAGGTTTAAGCATTCACTAATGTTTCTTACGGGTTATTAACCCTTCAAAGGCCTTGGAGACGCTGAAAAATGAATGAGAAGCACTTGGTTGAATAAAATGTCTGAACCTCCTGCTCCAATGGAAATCATGGGGGCAAATTTTGATCGGGACCTTAAAAAGGTCCGTCAAGGCCAATACACCAATACAAACATGCGGCACTAATCAAACTGTTTATAATTGAAGTATGTGAAATATTGCGAGCAGAGTTCTAAGAGATGGACTTCTTAGAGTGCCGTGCAGTTTCCAAATTTTTTGTATAAGTACTGTTAGTTGTTCTGTTAAGGCTGGTCCTCCTTTCTTTAAAAGCTTTTGCACCGTTTGTTCCATTTCTTTTGCGTACTTTTCCCGTTGTTAGGTTTTTAATCTTCTAACTAACGCGTCCGTTTCGATGCGTATTCTTTTATACTGATTATAAGCACGTTTTGTTTATCCAGATCTGTATTGAAAGTGCGCTTTATATTTTTCATTAACTTCTTCATGTACGAGCATTCCGTGTTAGACTTGCGTTTGTTCCAGCTTTCTTCTATGTTATAATTTTTCATTATTTTGATTTCGGCGATTGAAGCTGATTTCTTCCTTGAAAAATATATTTTATTGAGTCATCTTGCAGTCCCTCTATCTTTATTTTTGTTGTTGAGTTAGTGTTGATCTCATGTCTGCGTGTTCGGCTTTCCATTCTTATTTTACCGAGCCGCCTTTTCTCATAATACAGAAGCAACAAAAGACTTCGGGATACTCGCTGTTAGACACACACAAAGACGTGATTGGGCAAAAGAAAGTGGGCCAATGTTTCGCTGCAATGCTCTGTGAACCGTAAAACGTGGTAAAACATTAACTAAACTCAAGTAGCTAATTGCAACTTGGTGCAACCATAACAGAACATATATAATAGCAATTTTGGCTTTGGGGCCCTAAACAGCCAATATATGCAATATGCAGAAAATGCATTGCGTAGAAAAATGCAAATTGGGCGAAATTTACTTGGCTATTTGCAGTTCCTGGGTGCTGCAGAACAGAATGAAATATTCGCAAGCTGTTTGTAAAGTGAGGTTTAAGACAGTAGAAATTAAAGCTACAGAGCAAACTACTGTGTGTGTGTACTTACCCTGGCATTGTTCTTGGTTCTATTTTGTTTGCCCTTCATTTTTTAGAAACTAATTCGAAAATATCTCAGATTAAAATAACAAACACGACTATGTTTACAATGAATTGTTAGACCAGACAGAGACTTGTCTCTTGTTAGACAGTGACAAAAGTGAGCACCTGTGGTGAGCACAAATGACAGAAATGATGGGCCAATCGTGCGAAGGCGTGAAGTTAGTCGTACTCTTGGATAAGGATAGATAGGGGACAACTCAAGTCGGAAGCGTGAACGTTTCGTACTTTATCTTAAGGAAATCTAGTGAATTTCAAAATTTCTCATTTTTCCAAAAAGGCCACTAAGAAAAGATTTTAATAAAAATATTAGCCATAAGGTAAGCACGTTTTCAACATTCCACAAAGACCGACACCTGATGTCTGGCCAAATCACTATCTGTTTATCCAAAAATAAAAAACAAATACTAGTGGACATTTTTTTATTACTAATGACAAGCACGAGTAAACAAATGGGAATTCTTAAAACATAATCGACTGCAATAAAATATCGAAACAATACACATATTTCACACTCGAATCAGAATACATCGAAGGCCCAGGTTAAGATTTCCAAAAATTAGGATGCTGCGCCAGTCTTCGTTCAAATATAGTGTACCAGTTCTGGACAGTGGATAACGGTACGTAAGTAGCTGTAGGATCAGGCACCATGTGCCCCTGAGTAATAGTGTAGGACAACACGAAGTCCATGAAACTCTTCAGCATCTTCTGCGCGAAATTCACCTGGACATCCGCCCCATCAACGGCTTGGACTTCTTGAATGTTCGCTAGAGGTTCTAAAGAAAACAACCAGGTGAGCCATCAATGAGCCAACAATGTGCCACTGTTGATTACCTATGCTTATTCCTATCTGAGCATTATGAACTATATGAGACTGTCCAAACATCATATTCGAATAATCACCCATCTCATGCAACCTCTTCAAATTGGACACCTTAAATATGGCTGAGGGCTTGTTATTGGAGATGTAACCTAACAGCTGCCAGTTGGGGGGCGCATGGGGGTCTGGCCAACTGAAGTAAACTGCAAAAAAATCCACAGGTAACGTGTCAAAGAAGCATTAAAGAAAAATGCCACTCACCTTGGCCAGCAGTGCCTTCAGGGAAGGGAACACTTCCAGTCAGGAACACTACTATGTGGTTGATGTTGTCCGCATCTGCTATAGTGGTAACACATTGCTGTTCACTGATTTGTTGGAATTCTGTTTGAACCTACAAAATAGTCAATTGAAAGGGGGCATTGATCAATCAAAAGGTGAACATTGAGGAAAACGGATAGGAATTACCAACCTACCAGCCTGCCTGAGACTAGAATAGCAAACATATTTGACCTAAGGTGGAGTGCTGATACTTAGAGCTCCACGAGGAGTTTAATGCGGTGCAGCACAGACTACTCACTATTGCAGTAAAGCTTTGACCGGGAAGACACTTCTAGAATAATCTAGCGTTCAAAACAAACTCTTCCCGTTACTACTGCCCATAACCTCAATCTTTGCCTCTTCCACTTCTCCGAAAGTTGCTCCACTCCGAAGTCAGAAGGCAAGAGCGAGAGCGCAATATAATAAGGGTATTGAATTTGATGTTCAATGTTATAAAAATTATTATTTATTATTTGCGAATTAATCAGGACATTTTAAGTGAACTGCCGAAAATAATTGCGCTACAAAATTAATTTAAGTGTGTATAAATTCAACTTTTTGCCCTAAAAAGGATAAAGCAATCATTTGGTTTCTGCGACCAACGTTTTTTGCGATTGGTGGCAAGTTAATGTAAATCAATTTTGTTGCAACTTAAGAAAATTATTTTTAATTAACCTAAAATGTTCCTAATATTTTTGTATCAATTGCAAGATCGTTTTGTTTGTTAATACTTTATTTAATGAAAAAACCAGCCAAAACTCCAAGGCGAAATTAGGCGTGCCTTTTGACTAGCGTCAATCAAGCACTCTATATTCGCTTAAAATCACGCATTATTTGTCTCCGCGTGTTTTCATTAGGTTGCATTATTTCTTTCTAATTAAGTAATTTATATTTATTTAATTAAAAATGTTGGCTAAAAAAACGACGAAGCGCGTGGGATACCCAAAGACATTGACGTTTGCGATCAATAAAAATGGTGGAAAGTGAATAAATGCAAGTTTTCAATGTAAACAAGGTTGTTGGTGTTTTTCGAAGTGATTTTTCGGAAAATCATGGTAAGCAATCAATTTGCTTTACTAGTCAGTAGGTCAGAGACTGTATTTCCAAGCACCGAAAAGATTTATTAAAAATTCCCCCTTTAATTACTTTTCAGTTTCCAAAAAGCTCCTTTAGTTTCATGTCTCGCACATTTTTTCAGCACAGTTCCTTTTAGTATGCGAAAAGTTAAAAAAAAATCCAATTACCTACTTTTTAATCCCCCATGCCAAACACTTGTAAGTTTACGCCCACGCAGACGTAAATAAAATCAATAAACACTCCAGAAACTTGGAAATATCCATTCATTTTCCTTAGAATTGATGCTTTAACAGCTCGCATACAAACCCAAGCCCCGTATTTCCATGCTGCATTGTTGGTGTTATTTTTTCTTCTGCATTCTGCCTTTTTTCCTCGTGAATTCTTCACGTGGGTACCTACCGAACATTCTAGGCCAAATCCCATACAATCGCACGAGCTTGTTAGGTTTCACTTGAAAATATAAACTATAAATCAGGATATTAGATTCGCCAGTGTATAGATTCATTCAATTTTCATGTCTTTGCAGCATATTTTGGAGGGGCTGACGCTGATTTTTAGCCATGTCTCTGCCAGTCTCTCATTATGAAGCCCTGCTAGCTGAAGTACGGGGGCTCAGACGCAAGGCTGAAAGGGTGCAGCAGCTTGCCCAACCGTTAATAGTGGGGACCCGTTCGCAACGTTTCCAGGTAAAGCCCGACAGTTAATTAAGACAGTGAATAGATCTGCAATGTCAGACTTAATTGTTCATAGACCGAGAAAAACCCTGAACGATAGCTTTGAAATCGTAAAAAAAACACATTTCTAATGTTTAAGTCCGCATCCTCATCGCTTTATCAGTTCAACTTCTTCAGTAAATGTTTCTTCATGCTTGGCCAGATAAGAGCTACCTCCAATTGAGTCTATAGGTAGATAATAATGTTGTCAATCCTTGAACCCGACGCTTTGCATGTAAATAACTGTGACTCACTTTACAATGAACTACTTAATTATACTTAATTGCGTTAAGATATGAGTCGTGCAGTTTGCAATTTCTAACGTTCCCACTTAGATTGTTAATGATAAAGATTGTAATGATTAATGCAATGTGAGTACCTATCAAATACAGTTAACTAGTTGGAATGGCAGGTTTTTACTTAATGTAAGTGTAAAGTTGCTAGTTAAAGGGCCACAATACATGATGTAGTTTGGGGGATTTATTTTGCTTTTGTCGCCACCCCTTGAGTGTCTGCCAGCCTCCCTTCGGCAGGCTTTTTGGGGCAGGCGCAAGCTAAAATTCGGCTAAAGGAGTCCATGTACGGATTTTTGTATTTTCAGTGGTATTCAGGTCTGTTTGGCTTGGGTAAACTTGCAATTTATTTCTAAAATTTCAAATTTAATTGTTCAGCTTACGCTTAATAATTTCTTCGTGCGTTTGCCTGCCACATTTTGAGAGGTTTCTTTTAAACACGAGCCGAACTTTTGACTGAATATTTGGCAATCCGTTATCCGATTTGAACAAATTTTCTATCGAATTACAGCTCTATTCGACAAAATTTATTTGGTAGCATAAGCAATAAAAATTAAACATTTTGTACATGGTGTTTAAATAGTGACATGTTTTCTCGGTCGGTCAAATCGTTCAAATTCGTATGCGGGCAACTCAGACAGAAAGAAATCTTGCGGAGTCTTCTGAGTAATTTGTATCTTCAATGGTTTGTTTATCCTGATCCATTCAAGAGATATATTTTTTTTGTGACCGGCTACATTTTCCGTGCGAAATTTATTTAAACTTTCCTTTTTAACAAGAAAGGAAAGCGCTTGGCCTTTTTATACATACATACACACTTTTTTACTTAAACTTGTTTGATTGAATTTCCTTTTTAAATTCTGATAAAGGTTGGACAATTTGATTAAAAGATTAGAGCTGTTAACTTCTGTTTATTTTGTTACGTATGTAACTGTTACTTGCCTTAGTGTGGAAGACATGAATTTCTAACAGAACTGCCAAAATTCAGGATGCCGGGTGATTTTCATGAAACCTTGCTCAGCATTAGAGTCAACTTTCGCCTAAATATGGTGCAAATTTCACGTTGCTACTGCTTGTAGTTTGAATGATACAAAGTTTTCAAAGGTGCGATTTTTGAACGTGCAGTTGAGTAAACCAATTTGAGGCCGATATTTACGAAGCTGCAAAAATGAGAATTCAGCGCGATTTTCCCGAAACTTTCAGGAATGTTAGAATCACATGTTCTCTAAGCATAGCGTAAATTTCAAGTTATTACTTGCCTTAGTGTGGAAGATACGAATTTTTAACAGATTAGGTGCAGTTGAGCAAACTTACATTTTGATGTTGATGGTTTCAAAACTGTAAAAAATCAGGATCCCGGGTGATTTTCATGAAACCTTCCTCACCATTAGGGTCAACTTTCGCCTAAATATGGAGTCAATATCAAGTTGCTACTGCTTTTAGTATAAATGATACGAAATATTCAAAGTTGCGATTCTTTCAAAGTTACTAATAGTCTCAACTGATTGTTGTTGACAGTTTTTTCCGGTAAGTTTTTCAGAAATACGCTAGTGGACTTCTTTCGGTCGGCACTCCCGATTTTCCTGCGGGATTATAATAAAACCCGACAGTGTGCCAACACCGTTATTCCTGCCGTCGTTGTCGATATTCCTGCTTCCTGCAGTGCAGCTGTGTTGAAAACGGTGCCGCCGGTCGAAACGATAATAATATTTCCAAGTGTGCTGCGTCGAAAAGTGAGATTTGAGAAAAGTCTGGATTCCTAGTCCTGTTGTGCTGTTAAGATAAACTTCCGGCTCGTTTAATTGTTTAATTCAAGAGAAAAAAGTGAAAAGGTGAATGGAAGAGGCGGATTAGCGGCCGGGATGTGTATCTGCTAAGCGCTTTTCACTTGGTTGGGCAGGTTTTTGCGAAAGCATTGCATGCGATTTTCCTTTTACATTAAGAAAGTGATTTTGTGAAAAATCGTCGTGGGTAAACGCGCCCAGTCAGATGAACTATTAATATTTTCTATTACCGAGCAGTTATTTATAATTGGCCAAATGATGAATCCATCCATTCATGATGACCACATTTCCTTCGTTTCACACACTATTTGATTCATATTCATCAGGCGCAATTAAACCGTTTTACATTCAAGGCTCTATCTTCTTCAGTTTATACGCACTAGTGTTGCAAACACGTTACTTATGGCCTAGAGTTAAAAATAACGGGTGATTGCCTCTCACTAATGCCAATTTTTTAAATACATCTGATGTGGATTTATGCAGCGTTTCAAGAATAAATTTCGATGGGATCTCGGTAAACTTTCCGTTTGAAACGCTTTGGGAACAAATTCTACGAACAATCTTTGAAACACCCAGTACAAAAAGGGGACTTTGCTCTTAAAATCAGGATTTCAGGCTCAAGATCGATATTATAAAGTTTTCACTCGCTAAACCCCCGAGCTAAAAGTGAGTTTTCTTTGAATCTACCGTGTTTTTGAGCATCAAACCTTCAAAAGCCCTTAATCGGTCAGTCACCTTTTTTTTAATTAAGTTGTGTTGATCTGATTGTTGAGCTTTGTATATGTTTTCGAAATATGCAACTTTAAAAACATCGACGGTTTATTTAAGGGGCAGATATTTGACAAAACCCCCATTGTTTTTCTCGTCAACAAACAACAAAACAAGTTGATAATGGATTTATATTTTGCAATTTTTGTGATTGAAAATTGTGGGGTTTCTTAAAGCGGCAAAGCCCTGCAATTTTCTGAATTTGTGAGTAATTTTTGGCAACTCCCATAACTGCCCATAACCGCCCTGAGCACTAATCAGCTATTTCTAAGTAATTCGAAGTTGTGCATTGCTTAAGGTTTGGAAGACGAAGCGCTATCGAAAGCTGATTTTTTACAGACAAACTCAGTGACTGTATTTTTTCTTTTTTCGTGCCAAAGTTCCGGAAAGTTGCCATCTCCAAGTGGAATGCAAGAAATCGTTAGTACATCGCAAAATGCTGGGCGCCATAATAAAACCACAAGTTTTGAATGTTCTAAAAGTTTCTAAAAGCCCGAAAAGTTCACCAGTTTGAATAAAAATCCAGTAATTTTCTAGACTCGATTTGTGTTTAAATAAACTAAAGTTTCCTTAAACTGAGTCCTTTAAATATTTAGAAAAACTATCGTTTTCCCTCTTCACTTTCCACTCTGTGGTTCACTTGTTTGTATCTATCTAATTTAGTCTATTTTTCTGTTAATTATTTTAAATATTTGAATCATTGTGGTTGTTTTTTTTCAATTTTCGTTTACACATCAGTTATTTGCATTAGTTGCCAGTTTTCCGCTGTTTTTTACTGGTGTTTAATACGTTTTGCGCTGATCAGGTTTAGCAAGTTTTTCGGAGCATTTTCTGAATTGTTTGTATTTTTCAATCAACTGTTTAAAATAAATATTGCCAATCTTCGCTAATGGCAGGAATACGAACAAGACACCGATAACTCTAAATTGCATTGTTTTTTTCTATTATAAATGAGGATTTTTGTTGATAGTAAATGAACAATCTACCATTCTATTTTCTACAAACTCACTGTATTTTATTTATTTCTTTCGGATAAAACTGAGCTCCTACTTTTGAGTGGTTTGTTTATAATTTTCAATGTTGTCCTCTCTTTTCTCTGATTGGGTTTAAATTTAACACTTTTGAGCGCTAGTTGTGACCACTTTGAAGCTTCTTTTCTACCAATTTTTCACGTTCACGGCTCACTTTCGCAGCTTTTCTGTACATTGTCATTTAGTAATCCATAAATCATTTGCGCTACCAGCCGCTAAAAATAGTTGCTTTTCACTTCTGATCTGTAGTGCATTTTTGAGTCTCCTTTTTTTTCTTCAAGTGTGCAGTTTGGTTTTTTGCTCATCAACTACTCGGATTAATTTGCCCTTTTTCAATGTTCTTTACTGATTTTGAATGCCTAAGTTTGGAGGCTTTTTAAATTTTTTTTTATCTTGTTGAATCAACAGGTTAGCTTTTCGTGAATTTAGTTTTTTCTGCAACTTTTTTGATCGATTTGAACATGTTTTGTGTTTTTTCAGTGTCCAATATAAGAGTTCGCGCGAAACGCATGTAAAGATGCAAACCACTCTTTTCGAGATTTTGTTTTTCACGAAAAACTAATTGGAAAAATTTCAAAAGCGAATCACTTCCTAGGACAAGAAGCGAACTTATACCAAATGTCGGCTGTTAACTAAATAAAAAACCATTTCGGCCTAAGAAATGATGAGCCAAGTCGTTAATTCTTGTCTCATCAGTCGATAAGACCGCATTTACCGCTTATTACACTGTAACGGAACTCTTGGCTCCCGTCCAAGACCTCCAAACCGCAAAAAAACGCTCAAAATAAATTTTGTGTTCGGGAAATAGTTGTATTGAAACTGCTCGAATCAAGTGGCTGAAGGAGAGCATTATACTTTATGAATACTTTCTAATAGTGACGAATATAAACAGCCAATAGGAAGCGAGTGGTTTTTAATGGTGCGCCCACTAAAGTGCAGCCAGTTAAACTAACACCATTAAAGTCAGCCATCAATTCCGCTTTGTTTCCAACCCGCGTACCAAAATAGGCTCATAAACTGCTTGAAATATGTAAACCTGTTTAAATAAATATATTTGTTTTATAGAATGACTCGCCTCTAGACTACACCATGGAGTCTCTTCTTGCTAAAAGGCAGCACAACACTTCCGATAACTCCCCCAATGTAAGTTGATGGTGAACTTTAAAGATCACGTTCTGCTGACATTTGCCCGTACAAAAATAAACTCTATTTATATTTTTACAGTACGATCAAAGATCATCGGGCTCAGAACAGGATCGTGTATCCAGCGAAGATGAGTGTCGCTTGAGAGATCGGGCTTCTAGAAGCCAAATGTCCGTTAGCAGCGAACCGGTTACTAATCAGACCCCTATTGGTAAGGTTCATGGTTTCAGACAAATTTTCTGTTAATAGTAGGGCATTTTTAGACTCAATGTACCATGGGGCGTGGCCCAACGTTCCTAGAACTCTTTGGAACTCTGAGCCCGCCAGTTTAGGCAAAACCAGCCAGAGCCGCAAGAATTCAACTGCCTTTGATGGGGGATATCAGAATGTACGCGTAATATTTGTCTGATCGAATCGTTTTATCGAATTAACGTTAATTTTTTTGTCATATAGGAAGTGGCATCAGTGATGTCTTTTGCATCTAGTTCGGGCGGAGCGCCGATAGACTCAGCGCTATGCAATGCCGGTCAAAATTGGTCTTCTCAGCAGCTGGAAGCGAAAATGGACGTGGTTAATAGCCTACTATCAATGCTGGGCAGTCAGGAGCATGTTGATATGGGGGAAACTTTGCTAGCGCTCAGCACTTGCCAGGAGAGTTGCTTAGCGATGAGGCAATCAGGTTGGGATTTTCTTAAAAACTCCCCGAACCAGTTGGTTTTCACTCATTCATCCCACTAATGTTCCAGGTTGTATTCCATTATTGGTTCAGCTGGTTCAATCGGATAAGGACAACGACACGCGAAAAAAAGCCGCTCACGCGTTGCATAATCTTGTCAATTCGCAACCGGATGAGCAAATTCGGAAGCGGGAATTGAGAATTTTGAAGCTTTTGGACGACGTTAGGCAGTACATTGAGTGCCTGAAGTACAACATGGAGTTCCAGTCCGCCACTTACGAGCCTGCACCTTTATCTCCAGACGATGGTAAAAAGCCGTTTTTCCAAGTCTCACTCCCTTACGTTTAATGTTTTTTTTTTTGTAGATGGAGACAGACATCCAGTGCAAACGATCGCGCATTTAATGAAGCTTTCCTTCGATGAGAGCCACCGACAAGCCATTTGCCTATTGGGTGGAATTTATACAACCGCTACTTTGGTGGAGGTAAGACAAGCAAGTTGTTATAACGCTTTAAAGACTTTTAAAATGTCGATTTTTTTGCAGACAGAGCACACTTTGCACGGCAACGCAATGCAAAATGGAAACTGTATTCTAATGCGAAGATACGCTTGCATGACGCTCACCAATCTCACTTTTGGCGATAGCGGCAACAAGACACTACTGTGTTCTTTTAAGGAGTTTATGCGCAATTTGGTTCAGCAATTGCAAAGCCCCAGTGACGAATTAAGACAAGTAAGTGCATAATAATTTAAAAAAGATTGCAATTTGGGCCAAATCTCGATAGATCAACTGACTATTGAGTGACTCTTGAACGGGATTCGGATCGATGCAAAGTAAAAGTCGGTTTTTGATATTATCAACGTTTCGCCATTTATCTAGGAGTAAGGGGGCGAAATGTTTCCCAACTGAACAACGACGTTTAAGACTGGAGAGTCAAATAATCTATGGAAAAGTTCTCTAAACTTTTTAATCTTTTTTCATTTGGGCATTGAACCATTTTATAATTGTTTTCCTTTAAAAGCTGGCAGCTCTGTATGCACACAAGCTGAAGAAAAATCATCTAAACTCTTCAATAGAGCGGCCGAGGCTATATTCGTAGAAAAATTAGCAAAATTGATTCGATTTTGATCGCATTTTCGCAAAATTCCTGATGGAACGTCGTCCCTAAATGCAATTTTTCTTCAAAAATTCTCAACCCTGAAACCAGACAAGCTGCAAAAAAGACCTTCCGAATTTTTGAACAGAGCGATTGAACAGAACGTTCGCAGCTCTGGAATAAGTTGAAGAAAAATAATTTAACTCTTCCATGGAGCGGCTCAGGCTCTATACGTAGAACCATTAGCAAAATTGTTGCGATTTTGCCGCATTTTTGCAAAATGGCTGTTGAAACGTCGTCGCAAAATACAATTTTTCTTCAAAAATTCGCAACCCTGAAAACAGACAAGCTGAAGAAAAGACTTTCGAGTTTTAGAGCAGAGCGATTGAGGTTCTATTAGAAAAATTAGAAAACCTCGCGATTTGGCCAGATTTTTGAGACATCGAATCATTTTATGGGTGTTTTAAAAGTTCGCAGCTCTGGATTCAAAGAAGCCGAAGAAAAATAATCTAAACTCTTCCATAGAGTTGCTCAGGCTCTATTCGTAGAACAATTAGCAAAATTGTTGCGATTTTGCCCGCATTTTGCAAAATTTCTGTTGAAACGTCGCCGCTAAATGCATTTTTTCTTCAAAACTTTGCCACCCTGAAACCAGACAAGCTGAAACAAAGACCTTCTTTTTTTTTTTGAACAGAGCGATTGAGGTTCAATTAGTAGAAAAATTAGAAAACCCCGCGATTTTGCCAGATTTTTGAGGTATCGAACCATTTTATGGTTGTTTTTCTTTTAAAGTTCGCAGCTCTGTATGCAAACAAGCTAAAGAAAAATCATCTAAACTCTTCAATGAGGCTGCTGAGGCTCTATTCGTAGAAAAATTAGCAAACTTGTAGCAATTTTGCTACATTTTTTAAAATTTCATTTATGCATCAAACCACATCGGTTTTTGTTAAAAGTTGGCAACTTTGAACGCAATGAAGCTGAAGGAAAATTGTCTGAATTTTTTGAAAATTTTCCATTTAGGCATCGACACTTTTGTTTTTGACATCGACACGATGACGGTTTTTGTTTTAATTAAATCAGAACTCTGAAGGAATTAAAAACAACGGCTTTTGTTTTTACATCGATCAAAATTCCAATCGAGAAACTAACTATGGAGTGGCCGTTTTATTAATCACGTAAAAACAAAAGTCTGTTTTTCTCCATTGCAATTGCCCATGTGTCTTTCGGCATCCACAGGCCTCAATTAATGAATAATACTTGGAGCCATTTTTTAATTTTCTTTTCTCTAGGTAACAGCAAGTGTCCTTAGAAATCTGTCTTGGAGAGCGGACTCAACCAGCAAGGAAATCCTTAGGGAAGTGGGCAGCGTTACGGGTCTAATGAAGGCAGCGATGATCCAGAACAAAGAAAACACCCTAAAGTCGATCTTGTCCGCCCTTTGGAACCTTTCCGCCCATTGCACAGAGAACAAGTCAGAAATATGCGGGGTCGCAGACGGCCTGGGCTTTATAGTCAACATGCTAACATACAAAACGCCTTCGAAGAGCTTGGCCATCATAGAAAACGCCGGTGGGATTTTGCGGAATATTTCCAGCCAAATTGCTGTCAGGGATGATTACAGGTAATTAACCAGAGTGATTCTAATGTACAGCCGAAAGTAAAAATTCAACTGCCCGCAGGGAAATTCTTCGACAACACAATTGCCTACACATTTTGCTAGAGCAGCTGAAGTCGCCAAGTCTGACGATCGTGTCGAATGCCTGTGGCACCTTGTGGAATCTATCAGCCAAAAACGCTGAAGATCAGGAGGCTCTTTGGCAAATGGGCGCGCCTGCCATGCTTCGCAGTCTCAACCATTCGAAGCACAAGATGATCGCCATGGGATCCAGTGCGGCTCTGAAGAACCTGATCAGCTGCAGACCACAGCAGAGTTTGGCTCAAAAAATGGATTCCACAGCACTTGCGTTGAATCTACCGGAACTTCCCACTTTGGGTGCAAGGAAACAGAAAGCTTTATTGCAGGTAAGAGCTGATTTTTTTTTGGTACTGTTGCCAGAAACAACAACAATTTATTTTTGATTTTTCATCGTTTTAGGATTTGGATCAAAATCTCACCGAAACCTATGAAAACATTGATAAAGACTCACCAGTGAAGTCAAACGCCACGACTGGTGCCGCCGGTTTTTTGTCTGGCAATCGGGCTACTTTAACCAGTCCTGATCACTTTGTGAACGCTTTTGCCAGTCTAAACTTGAACGAACCGTCCACTAGTTATGGCGCTGAGTTTAGACACAAGTCGAAAATTCCTCAGAACTTCGGTAAATACGGGACAAGTAGAAAGTAAAGATAATTTGATAAAACTTTACTTATTTATTTGCAGGAGGATCAAGCTTACCATACGTGCCACAATCCAATAGGCGTTCAAATCCAGCCTCTTTCTTGCCAGTTCGGACCAAGTTTTCTGGCCGTAGCTACGAAGACGACACGCCTGAACAACCTATTGATTACAGCCGGAAATATTCAGAGACCACAGTGGGAAAGAAAATAAATCCCAGCGGCGCTTCGTCTGATCTGAGGCAAACCGACAATAGCCGGATTTATGCAAACCAGAAAGAAGTTAATTTTACCATAGGATATACGGAAACGGATTTAGATCAGCCCACAGACTACTCCCTGAGATATGCCGACGATGACTCGTATTCGGATATTTGCGGAAAAATCACTAAGCAGGAGTTCGTTCAGGTAATTTTCACCCATAGATTCCATCAAGTGGATTTTAACATTTTCAATCATTCAGGACACCGTAAAAACGTACTGCACCGAAGGAACTCCCTATGAATCGCCCTTTGTGTTTTCGAATGCCACTTCAATGTCCGATCTGAGAAATGTTGGAAATATGGATGATAAACCGGAGATTGACAACGATATTCAGAAAGAGCTGGACAAAAAGGACAATAAAGAGGTCTGTTGACCAGTGGTTTTTTGAGCGAAATAAACAGTGAGTGTTTTCAGACAAAGCACGTTGATGAGAAAGATCGCTGCTCGACCGAAGACATCTCAGAAATGGAAAACACCGTGGGAAAGCCGCAAAAGTCCGAATTCAGTTCCGGAATTATGACGCCGGAAAAACCAGTGAATTACTGCGAGGAAGGCACGCCGAGTTGTTTCTCAAGAGTTAGCAGTTTTAGCTCTGATCTGGATTCGATTCAGGTGAAACAGGAGGCGAACTTGGACACATCCGGATTGGAACAGAAAACGACACCAGGAGGCAGGGATAAAATTAGTACAACCCCGAAGACTCCAAACGAGGCCAAAGTTGTGAAGTTCGAACAGGTAAGCTGAGATTCAAACAAGTTTTTAAATAAATTCATGAAATGGCTTTGTAGGTAGTGAATTATGCTGAGCAAACACCGCTGGTGTTTTCACGCTCCAGCTCTTTGGCTTCTCTGGACAGCATTGAGCAACATTCGATTCACGACGATAGAAGTTCAGTAGTGTCGGACTTTAGGTAAGCAGTGCACTGTCCTGAATTAGATTTTTTATAATAATGCTCTATCTTCTATGCCTTCTCCTTAGGACAAGTTCTGTGTAAGTACACACTTTTCACGCGGCCTTTTCCTAGTTGGTTATTAGTCAAACAGTTGACAGTCATTTCTCTTTCAGTCGATTGACCAGTGGGATGGTGTCTCCAAGTGAACTACCCGACTCCCCAACCCAAACGGTGCCCTCAAGTCCGCGCTCTTCCAAAGGCAAACTGGGCTTCCCACATTCTTCCAAACAATTGCGAGACAATAAGCAACGGCTTCCGCAAAAATCCAGCGTTTTCGAGGACAACACCACCAAGTATAAGGAAGAAAACACTCCGATGCATTTTTCCACAGCCACCAGCTTGAGCAGCCTGACGATTGATGATCATGAAGATCCCGGGAACGCCAGTTCAAGCAGCAAGGTATAAAACTTTAAAGATGTCCGGTGCAATGGAAATAAATCCTTCTTCATCCTCTGTCAATGTAGACGCCCGATACTAAAGTGCTTCAGCCGCTAGAAAGGCGGCCTTGTTTGGGAGCGGAATGTGAATTGTACGACCAGCAAGGAGATCAACAGGAGAAAAAGGACATTGAAAAGGAGAGTCGGTGCGAAGAAGACTCATGTTCGGATGATGATAAGCTTTTGGCGGCCTATATGAACGATGGAATCCAGTCCAATATGTGAGCTATGTTTGTTACTTTGTCATCGAGCGTTTTACCTGTTTTTTAATGTTCTTTGAAGATCGGCCCCAACTGCCAGTACAGCCTCAACAATGCTTATTAGTCCCAATTATAAATATCAGCACATGAAAATGCCTGGAGGTACCGGAATTCCTCTGATGCGGCGAACTCCGCCAAGGCATTTGTCGTCCACGTTCCCCAGTGAGGCTCCAACAACTTACTGTACTGAAGATACTCCAGCTGAATTAAGCAGAACTGGTAAGAAACGCGGGTTTTCTTGTCTGGAAGCAATTTTACGCGGTTTTCTTTAAGGCTCATGCTCCAATTTGAGCACGCTCTCCATTCCCACCGAGGCAAAAAGCAAAGTTGGGGATTTCTCAGACGATTCAAGCAATTTGGATGAAGAAAGTGAACAGCTGCTGGCGGAATGCATCGAGATGGGCATGCAAGGTTGGTAGTCGCATGTTTCAAGTATTGAATTATTTTATTAGTCCAGTCAGATTAGGCCTGTTTCGGGCGCTAAATGCATGAAGGTAAAAGATTATTGGAAGCTGTTCCGAAGAATGTCAGAGTTGTTTGCAAAAAACAGAGAAGTTTGCGAGGGATTTCATTGAGGCTGTGGAACATTGTTTAAATTATCAAGAGAGTGCGAAAAACTTCGAAAAACGAAAAGAGAAATAAATTAAAAAATAATTAAGTTAAAAATTAAGTAAACTAATACTAAAAGTGTACAAATATCTTCAAAAAAAGTTACAGTACGATTCTTAAGAAGCAAAATTAAATGATTATTATAAGAAAAGGAGTCTTGCGATAGCTTTACTGCGAATAGGACGTGCTCGGTAGGAATCCGGACATTCCAATCGAAAAAAGTTTGTTTTGTCGATAGTAAAATTTAAAGCGCATTTCGGACAATATACAGGGCTTCATAGCTAATAAGCATGGATCCTGGGAGTTCGCGGGAGTCCGAATCGGACCACGCTTCCCAGGAAGGCTACTTCCTGAGACCGAAATCCAAGAAAAGAGGTCGGACATCAAAATCTAACCCTTCCTTACCGCCAACACCAACGCCTTTGTCCAAAAACCGACAGGGCTGAAACCTCCATGGCTTCAACGAACCAGCAACAACAATTGTCACCCACCTCAAAAGCAGCCGTAACAACAAAAACAACAACAACAACAACACTGCCACCACAACACCAACGATTCAACTTCCCACACACCTTCGTAGTAATAGCACCAAACACAACATCTAGAATTCAATTGGCCCTAGAATGGGAGAAAGTGAGGGAGGGAAACAAGGATGTCATCATCA